CAAATTCTAAAACCATTGCTCTGATACCACTAAAGCTTGTCACGACCCAACCCGACCGGGACGGATCCCACTTGCATCGGGCCACGACATAGCCAACAAATCCAGGATCTGGCTTTGGAATTTGCTTTCGAAACTTTCTTCTAAATATAACACAGACAGAAAAATACATAGCTACTATAAACATCCAAACACAGCGTAATTCATTTATCTTTTCTTCCATCAAAATAATCATATACATATACAGTGTATGGCTTCAAACAGAAAGAACAGAACAGAACAGAAAAGCCATGATTGTACAAAAATCAAAAGTATCAAGTACCTAATCACAGATCAGACTCAAAACGTCTAGTCCAAGACCTCCTTCCCTTTCCCAGAACCTGAAAACCAAGCAGAAAACAAGAATGAGCTAACAGCTCAGCAAGACATCAATCACCAATCAAAATCATCAAAAACTCACATCAGAAAACGTATCAGAAAAGTGTCCGTACAGAAATCGTACAACAGACAGAACAGATAACAGTTCAATCAGAATCAAACATCGAATACGGAAACTAAAATCATATCAAATTGGATATCATAAAACTTTCATGTCACGGAGCAGACAGAATCATACGGAATAATCAGAGTCATACATAAATCAGAAATCAGAGAAAATCACATTACAGCTTTACAGAACAGATAATTTCAGAACAGAACTTCCTTCCAGTTGTTGGAACTTCCCCTCTTCCCCTTATGGCTTCCTTTTGTGCTTATAGTACCAGAACTTCCCCTTATAGCTCTCTTTTGTGCTTATAGCACCAGAACATAACATATATACAAAATTTTAGATTTCAGAACTTCACCTTATGTCTCCCTTCCCGGACCCAGACAACGGAATCACAAAGGATTCTGGCCCCTTATAACTCCCTTTTGATAACATACAAATAATCAATTCATTCCAATCATCTCATTTCAGAATTTCAAAAATCGTACGAAAATTCAGCGGCATAACAGCAGTATACGGAATTTACATAAAATTCACAAATCCAGAAATTTACCAAATTACCATAGAACATTCACAACAACATTATAAGACT